CTATCCCTCCTCCCAAACTTAAATTATCTTTCTTTTTTAAACGATAACGTGGAAGGAACAATGTGCTACCACAAATGAACTACCTACCTAACCTCATCTCACCTTTCTGGTGTCAAAGATGGAAAGGTGCCCAGAACACCAGACAACAGCAGACACCTTGATAAAGGCAGCATGGAGAAACCCTGAGCTGCATTACCACCGTTTCCCAGCCATCTGTACGTCAACCCTAAAGTCTCATGCCAACGACACAGCAATGTGACTACAAGTACTTTTCAGAACAGTATAGAATTATCTGACAACTTACCTCAAAAACCGTCAAACTGTACATCATTACATAGTCATTCCTAGTGCTGGAGAGAAAATACAGGCAGAATCTCCAGGCTCCTACTTGCTGGGCAAAGTTATTAAGAAGCTCTTCTGGAAAAGTTAAATAGCAACAAAAGAAGGCTATGAAAATACATGAAATTAGTATTTTTTTAAAAAACATGCCTCCCTCCATATATGTTACCTGGGTTGTCAAAACCCACTACAAAATCTAGTTTATTTTCAACAAGAAAAGACAGACTATACAACATTTTTCCCACTCTGAGGTGACCATGAGCACTCACAGTGTATTCAGTCATTCTGAAGTCAGTAAGCTTGCTATGGATACATTTTTAAGTAGAGAAACTTTCACTGTTACAGTTTTTACTTAACCTAATGTGTGGATAAACAGTTTTAAGAGTATCATTTCACCTTATAAATGATGGCTAATTGCTAACTTGTTTCCTCTGGGGTAGGAGCTATAGTATATATATATCTCCCCACCATTCACTCACACTGTTCTCACACACACACACACACACACACACACACATGATTGCTAGAGAAGTAGGAAAGATTAAGACTATCCTTAAAAATAAAGAATAGACAGCCCTGGCCGGTTTGGCTCAGCGTTTAGAGCATCGGCCCGCAGACCAGAGAGTCCTGGGGTCGATTCCTGCTAAGGGCACGTACCTCGGTTGCGGTTTAGCTCCGGCCCCAGTTGGGGTTGTGTGGGTGGCAGCCAGTCAATGTGTCTCTCTCAGGTCGATATTTCTCTCTCTCACTTCCTCCCTCTCTCCCTCCCACTCTGTCTGAAGATAAATGCAAAAATGTCCTCAGGTGAGGATTAAAAAATAAACAATAGACAGCACTGGCTGCTGTAGTTCAGTGGTTAGAGCATCAACCTGCACACCAAAGGGTCACAGGCTTGACTCCCAGTCAAGGGCATGTACCTGGGTTGCAGGTTCAATCCCTGGCCTCAGTCAGTGTCATGTGGGAGGCAACCAATCGATGTCTCTCTCTTATATCAATGTCTTCTCTCTCTCTCTCTCTCTCTATCTCTCTCTCTCTCTTTCTCCCCTCTCCCTTCCTCCCTCCCTTCCTTCCACTCTCTCTAGAAATTAATGGAAATAATATCCTCAGGTGAGGATTAACAAAAAAATAAAATAAAAGACAGACAAAAATGCAAGTGAATTCAAGATGGCTATTTCTCTTCTTTTAGTTTAGTTTTATTTTTAACTATACCCCCAAACAGGTAAATAAAAGCAACAATCATGAGAGATGCCAAGAACAAACCTATCCACATCAAATCAGTCAGAAATGGTTTCCTCCTCCTTAGGCTGCTGGTAGCATCAGCCAGAACCACAGACAGCAGCACTAAGAGTTTGTCACCATATGTCTGGACATGCTGCCCTCAGTCACCTTAACCTGCTGTACTGGTCATGAAATGTAACAGAAAAGTGGTAAAAATACCTAGGCAACAAACCTGAGAGATTCTAGGAAGCCCTTAGAAAAGCAGGAATCACAGCAGCACATTTCTAATCCTAAAGTCACTGCTCTGCTAGACCCTACTACTTAGGCTAAATGCACCAAGGCAATCTCCTTTAAAATTCCATAAAGAAAGCTGATGACCTGTTCTTATAATTAAGTGCAAGTTTCTATGAATCCCAGAGGTAAAGTCAAACCAAAGAGAATGAGCTCTGGCTGGAAATGAGGAACTCTGGGCTCTGTTCTAGACCTTGCCAATAATTCACTGAGTCTGATCCCAAGTGAACCACTGCTCTTCTTGGATGCTTCAGATTGTCTCTTGAGGTTCCCTGCTAACAGCTCTATCTCTAGAGCACTATTACACACCTTTGGTGGAGAGTGGGTGGAGCCTTTCTCCCACTTAGCTAGGAAAGACTTTAGTTTATTCTAAGACATCAAAAAGGAAACAAGAAATAGTTCCAACCCACAGTGGAATAAATCTGAACTAAGATATGTCCACTATGTAGAACCAAACCCTAGATTACCCTTAGCCTTCATTTGAATTAGATACATGTAGCATCTGGTTAAAGATATTTTTAATTAGACTAGAACATGAACATGTTCAGAAGGTTCCACTTTTAATTCAAGAACACTGAAGGTAAGCAATATTTGCTTTCCAAACCAAAAATTAAGAGAGAAAAATAAAAACAATCAAGTATGAGCGAAAAACAGGACTTCAGAGGAACTAATGTTAGACAATAGTAGGCTGATGTAAGGGGAAGATCCTCTACCTTCTCTGGTAAAAATCACCAGTGATGTTTTCACTATAAAGTACTAATACTTTAGTAGCATAAAACTAGCAGGGATGCCCTGGCCGGTTTGGCTCAGCAGTTAGAGCGTCGCCCCACTGACCAGAGTGTCCCAGGTTCGGTTCCCGCTAAGGGCAAGTACCTCGGTTGCAGTTTGTCCCCAGCCCCGGTAGGGTCGTGTGGGTGGCAATCACTCGATGTGTCTCTCTTATATTGATGTTTCTCTCTCTCTCTTCCTCTCTCTCTCCCTCCTGCTCTATCTGAAGATAAATGCAAAAATGTCCTCGGATGAGGATAAAAAAAAAAGAACTTACAGGGATCACTCTGGGGGAAGAAAGAGGGGTCAGGATAACTGTGTAATACAAGAGGATCTAGGGAAGTGAGCAGAGTTAATCCTCCAAGCCAAATGCCTGTTCATCTCTTGGGCTCAGCTTCTGTCAGTATCCCTTGTTTATAAATGCTCTGGTTCTCTCCAGGGCACTCCATCAGAAAAGAAAGACATGCAGGGCAAGCCCAAAAGGGACCACCAAGTTTAAAATTGAAAGAGATAAAAAGTGCCCCAGCCGGTTTTCTCAGTGGTTAGAGCGTCGACCTTTGGACCAAAGAGTCACAGATTCAATTCTGGCCAAGGGCATACATCTTGGTTGCAGTTCGTCCCTGGCCCTAGTCGGTGCCGTGCAGGAGGCAACCAGTCAATGTGTCTCTCTCACATCAATGTTTGTCTCTCTCTCCCCCCACCTCCCTCCTTTTCACTCTTTCTGAGGATTTAGAAAAGAAAAGAGAGATAGAGAGATTAAGAAGTTAGCATCTACCAGGAGCTGATATGATGCTCAAAGGATGCAAGGGGAAATGGGCTGCAGTCAAAGGTTCACTGGCCACCTAAAAATCCAAACCCCAATCAGGCTTTGCACCGAAGGTGGAAATCGGCCATAACACTTGTCAACATGTTAGAGAAGCCAAGCGGAAGAGAGAAATGAGCCTCCACAGAATTCCACATTGAAAAAGACCTCCAAGGAAGTAAAAGCAATGAACGTAAGGTCAGTATAGACATCCAATGGAAAAACCTTTAGGTTTAAATAGAGAAAATGTTTTCATTTTCAAGTTCTGGGATTAAGTGAGAACTGAGAGGAAAAAGGATTATTCTAGGACCACAGTGCAACATGTCACTGAGGCAGAGATCTGGTATTTGTATATACTTTCTAGTTTAAAGTATGCTTTAAAAAATATTACTCAAAAATATGAACAATAAAATGGCAATAAGTAGAAATCTACCAACAATTGAACCTATAAACAAAATGAGCAAGCAGAACAGAAACAGACTCATAGATATGGAGAACTTTTTGTTGGTTGCCAGATGAGAGGGGGCTAGGGGATGGGTGAAAAAGGTGACGGGATTAAGAAGTACAAATTGTTTATTAGACTGATGAACCTCAAAGGGAAGGGGGGAGGGAGGGTGGGAAGAGATAAACCAAAAACATATATGCATATGCATAACCAATGGACACAGACAATAGTGTGGAGAAGGCAGGAGGGGGGCGGGAGCAGGGAGGTCAATGGGGGCGGGGGAGAGACATCTGCAATACATTCAACAATAAAGATAAGTTTAAAAAGAAAAAAGAAATATAGTTCATGTCAATGAATATAAAATTCAAAGAGGTTCTAGAAGGTGCTGAAGTTCCCAGAAGACCTGAAGTGATTATACCTACACCTCTCTGAAGTGTTCATTCATCAAAACTTGCAGAATGGGTCAGATAACCGAGATAAGGAAATGGAGATAAGGAAAAAGCAGCAAGAATGCCCTGGCCATGTGGCTCAGTTGTTTGGAGCATAGTTCTGTGCACCAAAAGGTTGCTTCCCAGTCAGAGCACACACCCAGGTTGTGAGTTCCATCTCTGGATCAATATTTCTCACATCGATGTTTCTCTCTCTCTCTCTCCCCCTCCCCTTGCTTGCTCTCTCTCTAAAATCAATAAAAGACATTTTGGGGGGGGGAGAAGGAGCCCCCAAAGGTAATACCAGTTAAAGTATCTCTGGGTACTCGATGAGATTCAGATTAGACACCTATACACTAAAAACATGTCCATTATAACCCTTTTTTGAGGTTTTTTTTTTTTTTTTTAATTAATAGTCACAGACTTATAAAGTTCAACAATGCTGAACAAAACAGGAGGAGGGGTTTCCCATACTTTGTCAAAGGAAAGAAAACCCATCACTATAGATTACGGGTACACCATGGACTAGACATGGCCCTTGTAGCTAGATTTGCAGACCTCAACGGCCACCAACCAGCAGAACCAGAGCAAAAAGAGCAAGAACTAAAGGAGAAACATACTGGCTTCACCAGCCAAGGCTACCAACTCTTCCTCCCCACTGGGGCCTTTGCATTATACATGACTCTTTACAACTCAACACTTCACTTACCTATCTCACGTTTTCTTTCATTGGTTGTAGAGTTATGAAAAAACTCTGTCATCAGACTTTCCAATGCCCTGAGGGAGGCTTCTTCAGATGCCTAAAAAAGGAATTTGGAGGGGGAAAAAAATATATCAATAAACAGTATCTTTAGTTCTACTGTTCCACAGTGCCTTGTAGGTCATCTTCAACAGCAATAGTAATCTACTTCCTGAAGACATCTTGGTTCAACATTCTTCAAATATGTAGCATAAGCCAGAAAAACTGAAGGGAATTTTCCAACTGGCTCAAAACCCAAAGTTTTAGTATATTCTACAAATTCATGCTACTCTGCAACTGATTTTCAATTATTTATGCCAAAAAAAGGGAAGCAAATAATTCAAAATTTAATTCTGGAAATATATTGAAAGCAAATCAACAGCCTATCCCTGACAGAACAGGCAGTGAGAAGACACTCAGGGAAAAGGTTAGGGTTCCCTACAGACTATGTCTCGTGTCTGAATAACTCTGATTCAGAGCAATTGTAGTTAAAGTACTGCATGGACTCTTGGAGTTTTCTGCAGGTGCTTCAAGAGTCATACGTCCAGTCAACTCTCAATCTCACATGGGCAGCCAACAGAGGTTAAGGTGCAGGTAAGAACCAAGCTGAGCAAGAACTCAAAATCAGACAGTGCCTCCAGTCACATGTCCACAAAGAGAGCCAGACAGACTCTCAGAAGAGCTGCTCAGGTGGAGAATGAGAAGAGGGGCCAAAGACTCCAAAGCTCACCTTCCCCTTCTTTCAGATGGAACCCCAAACCCACTTCCTCATCTCTCACTGAAATAGGGGACATCAGTTGCAGCAAAGAGTTTGAGTTAACACTCCTTCACACAACCTATCTGTGAAAAGTGAGCATTCCCAGACCATTTCTGAATCCTCACTGGCATTAATCTACCCAGAGATAATCAAAACCAACAGCAGTTCCAATTGTTTAATTATCTCTTTATTCCCATCTTTCCACCCACTCCCCTCCTCCTCCCTTTCCCATATCCTCTCCATTGCCCCCAGAGAGAGAGCTGACTTACAAAAACTGTGTTTTAATACAACAAGTCCATATTCAAATGTGTTATGTATCAAAATGTAATATTACTGGAGGCTTCCATTTGGTAACTGACTTTTGAGGAGACTGAAGAACTTGGGCCATCTCTGTGGGTAAACCAGCACCTTACAATGAGTATTAATTATTGAAAGTAAATCAGGCTTGCACCAGCCCATATACATCAACTAGCACATGCAAGCACACGACACAGTACACAATGTCAGGCACACTGTCTCTCCCCTGTGGCGGTCATGGTATGATGGCTGTGCAGTGACAGCTGAACTCTGAGATGCTGCGTGATGAAAAACAATTGTTTTAACATTTGTGAATATGAGGAATTTTCTCATCTGAATTTATATTTATAGTAAAGATTAGCCCTCTATACCTTTTTCAGATCAATATATCACTTCAACTGAAAAATATTCTTGGATTGCAAGTTTAGCTGTTTTATCAAAAGCTACACAATTTTTTCAAGTGTAGAAATAACTAAAATGTGGGGCTAAAAACTGCGATATTTTTTAACCCACTTCAGGTTTTTGTGTTGATCAAATCAAGCTTACTGTTTTCATTCATCACTGACTTTCAAAGTAAATGCTACAAATTCAAATTTCTAAAAGGAATTTATATTTAAAAAGAATGCTTTGGTCTGTTTCATAAATTAATTTGGTGTACCATTTCATTTGAAAAAAGAATTTGCTGTTTAAAAAGATTATGGGAAGATTTAAAAGAATCAAAGGAAAATCTCACGTTAAAGTAACTTACTAAAAATAAATACAACTCGAGATATGTGTTCAACTAAAGTCAGTTATTCATTTAAAATAAATCAATAGCTCTTCTGAAGTCAAAATGGATTCCTGAAAACTAAGGACATATCTTCCAGTGACACCTGCTCCACAACTTTTCTTGTAGTAAATCATTTTAGAGTAGATCCTAGGAAAAAGCCTGAGCTCATCACCTTCAGGCAATCAACCACCAAGGTTTATTTCATACTGGTTCTTAAGGCAGAAGTTTGTGAACTTGACAACTACTGGCCCTGCATTAAATGTTATTGCAGAAAGTTCTTGCCCTGGCCGGTGTGGCTCAGCGGTTAGAGCGTCGGCCTGCGGTCCGGAGAGACCCGGGTTCGGTTCCCGCTAAGGGCATGTACTTCGGTTGCAGTTTGTCCCCGGCCCTGGTTGGTCGTGCGGGTGGCAGCCACTCGATGTGTCCCTTCACATCGATGTTTCTCTCTCTCCCTTCCTCTCTCTCCCTCCCACTCTATCTGTACAAAAAATGGAAAAATGTCCTCGGGTGAGGATAAAAAAAAAATAAAATAAAATAAAATAAAAAAAAAAAAGAAAGTTCTTGACAATCTCCCCCAAAGAATCCAACTCTCCCTCTGCTCTCAGTCCCATCCACCCTACTCTCCCTACTCCATCCCAAAAAGCTAACATCCCAGCAGAAAATGGAAAGACAAAAGTATCCACAAGGATCACAGGATGGATGCTTCCACCAAATGATGGTTCACGGAAAAGAAAATCCTATAACCAAATCTAGTGTCTCTAACTAAAACAATGTGCTATTTGCATTTTGATTACGTATATAATTGCAATACTAATATCATACCTCACAGGGTCTTATAAGGTTCAAATGAAATGATCTATGAAAGCTCTAAGGAGTGATCTAATCCCTAGCTGCTATCATTTTTATTTGGTCTTAGATACCAAATGAACAGAGACCAAAGAAAACATAGGAGTGGTCAGACCTACCCTGAAAGTGGAGATTCATGCCCTCAGGCAGAATGAAGGGCTTTTCCAACTGGATTTCAAAATGAAACTACATAGGGAAAGGAGGCTGAGACTGCCAAGGTCAACAATCAGAACAGAGATGTAAAAACAAAAAACATGTTCAAGACCCACAACTGCTTGAAAGATACTAGAAAACTATCCCCATTTGGCAAGAAAGTTGTTGAAGCAGGTGGTGAAGCCAGAATCCACATTGCAGTGGGTTAAGTAATTAATGGTAAGTATGTAAAGATGTGGTAACATTCCCCACAGACTACACTTTCAAGTAATAAAGAGATAAAGAACATAAAACAAAGAACAAGTGCCATGCTATGGTAGGAAGAGGCTTCAATTCCCAAAGCTACTCACACACTGCCCTAATTTATAAAGAACATGGAGGACTCAGATACACCCGACTGCTTCCCAGAACTTGAAGAACTAAGGGCAGATAAGATTAGCTTCAAACCAAGTGAGACATTCATACACAAAAAAAATTCCACTTGGATTATAGATAGAAAATGTGAAAGGTAAAACAACAAAGCTTCTGGAAGAGAATCTAGAACATCTTCATGACCCTGGAGTAGAAAAAATTTCTTGGACAGGACACATAAAATCACTAAACATAAAGAAAAATATTGATAAATCAAAATGTTCAGCAGATGGCACACCAAAAAGTACCACAAATGGAAGATCTTTTCAACACAGCCCAGCCGGTGTGGCTCAGTGGTTGAGCGTCGACCCATGTATCAAGAAGTCACTGGTTCGATTCCCATTCTGGGCACATGCCCAGGTTGTGGGCCAAACCACAGTGGGGGGCAAGCAGGAGGTGGTTAATCAATGTTCTCTCTCATCAATGTTTCTATCTCTCTCTCCCTCTCCCTCCCTTTCTCTCTAAAAATCAATAAAGAAAAAAAAAATTTTTTTTTAAGATATTTTCAATATAGACAACTGAGAACTCTCATCCAAGTACAGCAGGTCCTGGAATAACATTGTTTCATTCAACTTGGTTTTGTTGTAACATTGACAGGGATGGAGATGGTGTAGTAACTTAACTCTTGTTTATATCAATTAGCCTGTGGTAAAACTGGTTTCTTTATACATTGTTTCACTTAAAGTCACAGAACCTATGACAAGGTCAAGTGAAGACTTCAAATCAATAAGGAAAAGACAACAGTTCTGACAGGCAGATCATTACAAAAGGGTATTCAAAAGGCCTATACAGAAAATAAGTGCTCAACCTCACTAGTCATCAGGGAAATGCAAATTAAAAATAACAAGACAGTACTCTTCATCCACCAAAATGGCTAAAACTAAAAAGACTGTCGCAACTGTCAGTGAGGATGGTGAGCAACTGGAACATGCATATACTGCTGTTGGCAGAACACACTCGTATAACCACTTTGGAAAACCATTTTGCAGCTGAGCATATGCATACTTTATGACTGTAATTCTACTCCTTGATAATACATCCAACAGAAACTCGTATACGCACCCCCCGCTAAAAAGGGGGCAAAGTACACAAATGTTCACAGCAGGCACCATTATTCATAATATAGTCGTTCCTCGCCACTTTGCGCTTCGACTTTTGTGGCTTCATTCTATCGGTTTTTTCATATATATTCATTAAAAAGTTGATCGAGACAGTGAAAATGATACAGTGCACACTCAGTTGTCTGAGTCAATTATACATCCCTGTATTACAATTACAATTAAAATTACTGTATGTATGGACTGTAGGCCTATGTATTCGAGCACCCCAGGAATCCTTCAACGCCAGGTACAACCACTCAACCACTCCTTGTGTGTGGGCAGTAACTTTTTTCCAAAAAATTGGGTGTGGTGAAACCAAGCCAATCAGAGCATGCTGTTCACTGATTGGCTATCCTATCCTCTTCCTATCCTGGCCACTGATTGGCTCAGCCTCATGCAAGTTCATTTCTCTCATACACACTTCTACATAAGCATCTTTGCTCTTGTAAGTGTTTGCGATTTCTGAGAACTTTTATCTAAGCCCCACGATGGCTCCTAAACGTGCTGCTGCTTCTGAGTCTTCTGATGATGAAACTAGGGGCCGGAGGAAGATGCTTACCATCCAGAAGGTGAAACTCCTGGATATGATCAAAGATGGTAAGAAAATCGTGGAGGCTGCCCGCCATTACGACTTGAATTAGTCTACCATTCACTCCATCCATAAAGATGAAAAGAACATCCGTGCAATGGCTACTGTCTCTTTCAACAAGGAAGCAAAGCACATCGTGATAAGTCACAGTAAGTTCATAGTGAAAACGGAGTCTGCCCTAGCCGTTTGGATCAGCGACAGCTGCAAGAAAAACATTCTGCTGGATTCGCTGGTCCTCCGGGAGAAGGCAAGGCAGCTCGATCAGAGCTTTACGGCAGATGAACCTCAACCAGGACCCTCTTCTGCAACGTTCATGGATTTCACAGAGAGCAAGGGTTGGTTCGAGAAGTTCCAGAAGAGGTATCATCTGAAGAGTGTTGTTCTCCACGGAGAAGCTGCCTCTGCTGACCAGCCTGCAGCAGAGGACTACGTGAATAACACGTTCCAGGAGATCCTTGAGGAGGGCGAGTATCATCCAGAACAGGTGTTCAATATGGACGAAACAGGCCTGTTCTGGAAAAGAATGCCTTCCCGGACATTCATTTTCAAGATTGAGGCCAAGGTCCACGGCTTCAAGGCGTATAAGGATCACGTGACTATCGTTATGTGTGGAAATGCTGAGGGATTTTTGCTCAAGCCTGCCCTTATCTACAAAGCCAAGAACCCTAGGGCCCTGAAGAATAAAAACAAGAACCTGCTGCCAGTGCATTGGATGCACAACGACAAGGGCTGGATCACACAGCTGTCATTGGACTGGTTTCCACGAGTGCTTCATCCCCCAAGTCAAGCTGTATCTTGCAGAGAAGAGACTCAAGTTGAATGTCTTTCTCCTCATGGACAATGCTGGAGGTCATGCGCAAGACCTATCCTACGACGGTGTGCGGATCGAGTTCCTTCCTCCCAACACCACTTCGCTGATCCAGCCCATGGATCAAGGCTTATTCGCACGTTCAAGGCCCTCTACACGCAAAACACCCTGCAGCACCTCCTAAGGCATGGACCTTGAGGAGAACTTCTTGCTGAAGGAGTACTGGTGGCAGTATACCATCACGACCTGTCTGAAGACCATCTAGGACACATTGAAGGACACAAAGACAGAGACCGTGAAGGACAGCTGGAAGATGTTGTGGCCTGAAATTGTCCATGACTACAGAGGATTCACCCCAGAGGATACGAGCAACTCGGCAGTGGATAAGGCAGTTAGGCTAGCCTGGATGCTGGGAGGAGGAGGTTTTGCAGATATGACCCGCGATGACGTGGATGAGCTGCTGGAGACACATTCGGATCCCCTAACTGACGAGGATCTAACGGAGATGACTAAGTCTGCAAGTGAGGAGGAGGAAGAGCAGCCAGACGTTCCTGGTGGTCAAAAGGAGGAAGTCGGCCTTATACTTGAGCGTCTCTCACAAGTCGTGAGAACTATTAAGGTAGTACAGGATATGACTGGCTAATGGGACCCACAAATGATGCGTGCATTGCGGTTCCAGAATGCACTTGATGGAGTGATAGAACCCTACAAAAGCCTCCTCATGCATATGAAAAGACAGCGCCAGCATCTGCCTATCACGATGTTCTTCAGCCACGCACCCAGACACCCACTGCCTACTCCTAGTGCTCCGTCAGGGAAGACAAAGACGCACCTGCTGAAGATACTGCACCACCTGCAGACTCTCCTACTGAGGCCGTGCCTGCAAAAGAGCAGTAACCTTGCTCTTCTTTGCTGTGTAGCACATCTCTTCATTTTCATCGCTTCATCACTGAACAAGTTGCACTATTTTCATAGGTCAGTGGTTGTAAGAACTGTATGTGTGTAATTAAATGTACAATAATAATGATATTTGTAATGTCTAATATGTCTTATTTTGTCTACTATATTGGGTAACACAAGTGTAGTGATGACTAGAGGGTGTTATTTCATGTCTAGAGGGCTCTAATAATGTTAAAAAAACATATTTAGAAGGTCATAAACAGGTTTTCTATGCAAAAATATTTGATTTAGCCCTGGCCGGTTTGGCTCAGCAGTTAGAGCGTCGGCCTGCGGTCCCGAGAGACCCAGGTTCGGTTCCCGCTAGGGGCATGTACCTTGGTTGCAGTTTGTCCCCGACCCTGGTTGGTCATGCAGGTGGCAGCCACTCGATGTGTCCCTTTCACATCGATGTTTCTCTCTTCCTCTCTCCCCCTCCCACTCTACCTGAACAAAAAATAGAAAAATGTCCTCAGGTGAGAATAAAAAATAAAAAAAATTCGATTTATAAATAAAGAATTCTACTTCGTGAAAATTCATTTATCGCGGTAGAATCTGGAACTGATTAGCCGTGATAAATGAGGGCCGACTGTATTCTAAAAAGTCAAAAGAGCCCTGGCCAGTTTGGCTCAGCAGTTAGAGCATCGGCCCACAGACCAGAGTCCTGGGTTCGGTTCCTGCTAAGGGCAGGTACCTGAGTTGCAGTTTGTGTGGGGGCAACCAGTCGATGTGTCTCTCTCACATCGATGTTTCTCTCTCTTTCCCCCTCTCTCCCTCCCACTCTATCTGAAGATAAATGCAAAAATGTCCTCGGGTAAGGATGAAAAAAAATTTTTTTTAAGTCAAAAGAATCTAAATGTCCATCACCAGTGAAATGGATAAACAAATTGTGGTATATTCATTATAATATATAAGACAACAAAAATGAATGAATATTGCTACATGTAACACCATGGATGAATCTCAAAATGTTGAGTGAAAAGAAGACAAAACATCCTTCATTATTCATTTAATGTTAATTTTCAAAAACAAGCAAAACAAAACTCTGGTGGCATAATCAGAACAGTGGTTACCTTTGGGAAGGAAGGATTCTGGGATGCTGATGATACTTTATTTTCTTAATCTTAGTGTTAGTTACCCAAAGATAATCGCTTTACATTGTGATTTGTGCATTATTCTGTAAGTAGACATACACAATTTTTAAAAACTTAATGTTATACCTATTTTTAACCTTCATGTTGATATTTTCAGAACTTAGAAACTGTTTTGTTTTTTTTTTTTCCTCTACTAGCACAACTATTAAGAGCAATTTGGGGACCTGCAGCTAGCCTGCAGGTAAAGTCTAAGCATGGAATTACTGGATTCCAAGAAACCATCACCTATTTGTCTGCAGAGATGCCAGGGTGGCAACACAAAGTATTACAATCCCATAAGCCTATGCTTCCCCAAGAGTTACTTGGCTTCCCTAAATAACAAAATAAAATCCTTGGGCAGGATGAAGAGTTAAACTTGACTCATAATATACTCTTGGAAAGCCATGTATATATCTAAAAACAAATGTTTCTGTTCCAGAAAGAGTTAAAATCTGCAAAGTGGAGGTTTCAACTGTGCCTGCCTTAATTTATCTGCTCCTTTTACTGCACTGCTCATGGCTCAGTAGAGATCTATGCTACCGACTCACTTACTATGGAACTACTAAGTCAACTGAGACCCATAATCACCTAATAAATGATAAGAAAAGCTCGAAAAAAGAGGAGGGTCATCTAATTTGAAATCTTTGACTCTTCCCAAATCCTTTATGCCCACAACAAACGCCATCAGGTCTGATGCTTGCTTGACATCATTTCTTAGATTGGTACCTTTCCCTCACTACTACTTCTACCACTCTACTTCCTCCTGGTTAGATTGCTATAATTTCTTTTACCTGGCCACTTTAAGAGGCCAGCTTTCCCAACTCCAGTCCAATCTGTACTTTACCACCAGATAAATTCTCGTAAATATAGATTTTCTGCCACAGTTATTCTAAACCTAGCTTTAAAGAGCCTTTAAAACTGGACCAAGAAACTCAGCTATTCATTCAACAAATAAGCTCAGTACTCACTAAGTAAATGATATTGCCTTTAGCCTGAGATACAAAATTTATTAAGACTGTCCTTGACTCCAAAGAACTAAAGGTGGCCTGTGGGGAGAAGGGTAGAATCTAAAAATAAAAAGTAGAATATGACTGTTTACATTCTATACTAGTGACATACATATAATATAAACTGCCTCAGGAGCCCAGTGAGAGCAAACTCTTGAGGGAAAAGGGAAAGCTTCGCTTCAACAGAGGTAATAAAATGTTTTGGATTTTGAAGAATGCAGAGTTTACTAGGAGGAAAAAAGAATGAAAGCATGCCTGATTCACCATTACTCACCACAGGAAGCCATCACTCAGTCTGAACACTCATGGTCTCAAGCAAATTCCATTCCTGCATTTGTGTCTGGGTGTGCAATGCATACTTCAACCTCGATGCAATTTCTTACTAAAGATCCCATCTCTGTTTTCATCTTTCGTCTTCGTCCTGTAACCAGTACTACAGTTTTGCCTGTGGCACTGTTCTCTGCTCATTTTAGAATGCACGATTAAAGAGCACAGGCTCTGGTGTCCAGTCCTTGGGTTCCAACCAGAATGTACCTCAACCTTGGCCTAGTTTTTTCTCTGTCACTCTTTTTCCTCTTGTGCACAAAGGGGGATAAGAGACCTAACGTATGGGGTTATTCTGAGAATTAAATAAAAGAATTGACATAAAGCACGTAGTCAACATAATGCCAGAAATAAAGTAGGAGCTGAAAGTCCTATCTGCAACTGTTAATACTTCATAAATATAGAACATAAACTGTCTGGAAAGAGGCCACCTTTATGTCTGTATTTTCTATATCATCCTGTATGGACTGGTGCTCAAATATTTTAGACCAAATTCAAGAGAGTAAAAAAAACAAGTAGACTATTAATATCACTTTTAGTTTCTCAGGAATACTAGTAATTCTTCAAAATTCAAGATATATAAAACTGTTTAAATTTCCACCTTTAAGAACTCTAATCATAATGACCTTTGCTCAGAAGCACTCAACGAACATGTTTTGAAAAACAGGAGAGACTAATAATTTATCTTTAAAAAAACAAAACACTGAGACTTCAGGTGGATAACACGGTGCTTTGTCCCTTAAAATCAGGCAACTAGATGACCATTTTCTCAAGCCCTGATTGAATCTGTAATGTTTTAGCCTAATTGGCTCTAAAACACCCCTCTCCAAAGCATAACCTTTTACAAAATCGGTATTGGGGGTGAGGGGAACTATTCTTTTTTAATTAAACTTTTTGCCACCTCTTCCAAGAGCCACATTTTACATATACAAGGAGGTATATCATATGGGCCTCATGTACTCAGGTTCATGGCCTTCTTGATATCAAACCTAGCAAACCAGAGTCCCACTGAAATACTCTTATGCCATATCTAGAAAAATTGTATTACTCTATTTTAGGAGTGGGGAACATCCAGCCCTCAGGCAGAATAAGGTCCCCAAAATCAATACCAGCTAACATCACACGCCTCATAAAATTAGCCTGACCAAATATAGCAGGCTAATTTTTAAGTTTATAATTTTATATGGCCTGAGAATGATGTTACAAATATCCAAATGTCCCTTGGAAGAAAAAAGGTTCCTCACCCCTCCTATTTGCTTGTATACAAAGGTTTCTGAGAAAAGTGATTCTATAGTAGCTGCTAACCAAGGTTAAAAAGTATGCAAAACATACCTCGTGTGTTACCCCAGATGCCATTAGCACAGAAATTCAATCTTTGAAAGCTAATAAGATTATCATGGGCATCAAAAACTCTCAAAAGAACACTCTCACTCACCACTGCAAAGGAAAGAGACAAGAAAAAAATTCTATTTGGCTTTCTGCCTGGCATAAGCTTAAATACTGCACAATGAGAATCAATGTGACATCTACCCATCCGCTCCTAAAGTTGGCTCAAAGTGCTAGAAAGCAGGAAAGCACACCAAGGAAGCCCAGTCAAAAGAACGATATTCAGAACAAGTCTTCTCCCATCTTTTCTGTCACTGCTCGTGTCTCAAACTACAGGTATCATCCTTTAAAAAGATAAAACAGTCCAGCCAGTGTGGCTCAGTGGTTCTTTGAGCATCGACCCATGCACCAAGAGGTTGCCGGTTTGATTCCTGGTCAATGCACATGCCTAGGTTGTGGTCCAAATCCCCAGTGGGGGGCATGCAAAAAGCAGCCAATCGATGTTCCCTCTCATCGATGTTTCTATCTTTCTCTCCCTAAAATAAAATAAAAAATCAATAAAAAAAAAAAGATAAAACAAATTAAACACATCATGATAAAGTCGACATCTCACTTTATTTCTCTATAAGCAAACTGGTAAAACCAGTTGACTTTTCAATGTCTAGCATTCAGAAGTGCAGTCCCTGAAACCCTGGAGCACTGAATGGCTCACTCAAAAGTACACAGCTTGCCCTGGCCGATATGGCTCAGTTGGTTGGAGCATTGTCCTGTGCACTGAAGGGTCTCAGATTCAATTCCCAGTGAGGGCATGTGCCCGGGTTAGAGTGCGTACAAGAGAGGCAACCAGCCCTGGCTGGTTTGGCTCAGCAGTTAGAGCATCGGCCCTCAAGCCAAAGAGTCTTGGGTTCAATTCCGGTCAAAGGTATGTACCTGGGTTGCGGTTCGTTCCCCGGCCCTGGTCAGGGTCATGCAGGAGGCAACTAGTCGATGTGTCTCTCTCACGTTGATGTTTCTCTCTCTCTCTCTCTCTCTCTCCCCCCCCCCCCCACTCCCTCTGAAGATAAATGAAAAAATGCTCAGGTGAGGATTTAAAAAAAGGAGGAAACCAATCATTCTCTCTCTCTCTCTCTCACTCTCTCTCGCCTCCTCTCCCTTCCTCTCTCTCTAAAATCAATTTTTCTTTTTAATTCCTCACCTGAGGATATTTTTTTACTTATTATCAGATAGAGTGGGAGGGAGGGAGAGAGAGGGAGAGGGAGGGAGAGAGAGAGAGAAACATCAATGTGATTGAGCCACATCGACCTGTTAAAAAGAAACAGAGCCATACCATGTCCCAGGAAAGCAAGGCCAGGGTTGGGGCACTTACCACAACTTATGAACGTGTGTCTGGAACTAACTACTGAAGTTATGCATTTGCCTCAGAAGAGCTCTCACTGTCTTGTCTACAGCTTAAATCTGAACAGTACTTGCCATTTGGAAGTAACTGCAGGTATAACTGTACAATATCACCATGCAGATACTTAATAGTTGAATAAAACATATATTCTGGCTGCTTTTATGCTTTAGCCTGTAACTGTCATAAAGTTGACCGATGGTAAAATGTTCCCCTCAGTATTTCTTGAATTTGCAGTGCCCAGTCAGATTTTGTCTCTTCGACAAAGGGATCTGTTTCCTGCTGAGAACCATGAGTTAGAAGCAGGTTGACTGCCAGGCATCTGGGCCAGAAAGCCCAACTGGTCCTACTATGATAGGGATGAGGTGGAGGCAGCACATTTTGTCCCCATGGGGACCAACTGGAGAAAACATCTTGTACACAGAGGACAGTGTATTTTATGCTGGGAAAACCTAGCCATGTACCACTGGATAATACATAAAATCAAGACACACCAATTAGCGTCCCATGGACAGGTGTACTGGTTTCGAAATTTTAAAACAACAAATCGAAAGACTAAGGAGTTATAATAAGTAAATGCTATACCTGATTCTTGACTAGATCCTGTGTTGAAAAGGAAAAAATGCTATAAAAAGCATAACCAGGCCACCCTGGCCAGTGAGGCTCAGTGGCTGGAGTGACGGCCCGCAGACCAAAGGGCTGTGGATTCGATTTCCAGTCAAGGGCACGTACTGGGGTTTCAGGTTCGATCCCCAGGCCTGGTCAGGGCGCGTGCGTGCAGAAGGTAACCATCCATGTGTCTCTCTCACATCAATGTTTCTTTCTTTCTCTCTCCACCCCCCTCTAAAAATCAATGGAAAAAATATCCTCGGGTAAAGATTAATAAATTAATAAATACACATATATATACATACATAACTGGACTGACTGACAAAATCAGAATACAGATTGTAGCTCAGATAAAAGCACTGAATCTGAATTATTCAATTAATTGACGTTGTTAACTGCACTGTGGTTTATGTAAGACTGTATCTCTAATAAGAAATATTCTATATAGGAGTAATAGCCCATGACATAGACAAGTTAATTTCAAATAGGTCAGAAAAAAAAATATTGCATGTATGTACATATACAGTTGATTCTTGAACAACAGGGATTTGAATTACGCAGGTCCAACTATACCCAGATTTTTTTTCAATAAATATACAGTCAACCCTCCATATCCCCGGGTTTTGCATCTGCAACTTCAACAAACCACACATCAAAACAGCTGGCAGTCCAGAGCTGCAGAGGGTTGACTGAATACACTGTTCTACACTATTTTACCTAGGGGACTTGAACATCAGCAGATTTTGGTACCTGTGGGGGGTTCTGGAACCACTTATACCAAGGGACTGAGTTTTGGGAATTCAAAAGTTCAATGCAGATTTTCAACTGCACTGGGGTTGGCACCCCTAATCCTCACGTTGTTCAAGGATCAACTGTATATACATAGAGAAAGTGCAAATAAAGCAAATGGTAAAATGTTGACAATAGCTGAGTTTGGGTAAAGGGTATAAGAGTGTTCTTTGTACTAGTCATTCCTTCATCAGTTTGAAATCTTTCCACCAGTTGAAATTATTTCCAAATAAAAAGTGTTTTAAAATGTCATCTGTTGGACTGGTACCCTCCACCTTGCTCCTTCCTCACTGTTCTAAACTAGCTGGGAAAATTGAAAAGAGAACGTGAAGAAAGAGTAAAACAGAAAGGGGATTATTTTTTTCTCTCAAGTGCCAGGTTTAACATCACACATTGTTTTGGAAAAATTATATTAAATAGTCTGAACACTAAAAAAATTTGCATCTGCTGCTTGGGCAACAATTATATCCCACTAGGAGCTAAAATACATATAATTTATATACTTATTTATATTCCAGTAAAAAAAAAAAAAAAAAGCAAATGAGAAAAATAGTTCTGCGAGAAACTGTCTAAAATAAATGAGTAATATAACCAAGCACAGGCTCTCTCTTCACAATCCCATCTGCTTCTATTTTCCAGGTACGTATCCCAGGAGGATGGAACACTTATATCTGCACGCCTAGTCAATTCAACTCAAAAGATACTTACTGAGCACATTAACTGCAAGGCATGAGACCAAGAGTTCCTAAAACAGGATCACAGAATCTTTAGGGAGAAATAAACAAACCCCAGAGAACAGCAAGTCCAAACTCATGTTACACACGAGGAAAATGAAGCTCAAAGAGAATCTTGCCTAAAGGGGGCCAGCTCAGAGGAGTTTTGCTCCCAGGGCTGTAAGGACGAAGACTGAGCTGGCGTAACCTTGCACCGGATAAAATCAGGTAATCATTGAGTATGAAACAGATGGACCACTGTAAACACATGCTGGAAATCACAATTAACACTACATAAAGCTGCTGCTACCAACACAACGGTTTAAGAGCAAGTCTCTTGTAAAAGCCATACCACCTCCATCCTGGACAGAACTGGCTTTTTAAAGAACAGTTAAAATAACATTGATTAGCCCTGGTGGGTGTGACTGAGTGGTTGGAGCAATGGTCTGCAATCCAAAGCGTCTCAGGTTCAATTCCTGGTCAAGGGCACATACCTGGGTTGCAGGTAAGATCCCCGGCCCTGGTCAGGGTAAGTGTGGGAGAAAACAATGTGTCTTTTTCACATCAATGTTTCTCTCTCTCTCACACCACCACCACTTCCTCCCACTCTCTTTAAAACTCAATGGATAAAATATCTTCAAGTGAGGATTAACAAACAACAACAAAAAAACATTGATTTGATTTTGACAAGAATCTCTGGACTATATTACAGACTGCTGGGATTTGGGGGAGCATAATCACCTTCTTTCTCCCCTAAAGGTTCTATCCAGCTGACATATGATCTCCAGAATCCACAAGCAGATCAAAGTCTAATGTCCCCTTTATGACTGGCAAAGCCTTGCAATGCCTCTTCCTTCCCACCCTGAGCTGACCTTATCCATCCAGGCCTAGCAACAACAGGAAGGCAGGACACAGAGGAAGACAAGCTTCTCCAGAGGATAGGCAAGTGACAGAGTACAAGCACAAAGCTAGACAGTGTTCTGATGCAGCAACCTAGCACCTGGCAGACAAGAGCCAATGATACTAGGCTCTCCCCAGTGCACCCATCATAAATAAAATAACAGACATATCACTCCTGGGGGAAGAAAAAAATGTGCTTCAATACTGCTCCCACCTGGGGTACAGATAATAATTGAATGTGCACCAAGGTAGGAACATGGGTACACAGAAACGGTGCCCTCTGCACAAGCAATGAGAGAACTAACTGGCTTCGTGAGAACCAGTGGTACCACTGAAAAACACTCGGTCACAGCCTGGCAGGCAGAGAAAACAACAGGTTAGAGCCAGTCCTGGTGCCAACTGAGAACAGCTTGACTTTGAGCAAAGCCTATAAGGTCACAGAGCATCCTCAGTATTATATGCAATCAGATACGTATGCTGTGTACTGATTACAAAGCACTATGCAAATGTTGGCTGATACGGTCATGCTTCCCACACAAGTTTCTGTTACCCAAACTCCATGTTTGGATTTGCTTTTATAAACACGAAAGTTCTCTAATTTGTCCCCCTCGTGTCCCTCTCAATACACCCAGCACTACCTTAATACTTTGGACTCAAAGGCCTATATACTCCCAAATCCAGCACGTGAGACTCCACCAAGAAGCCCTATGGGCCCACAGAGCACAGAAAACCCTGAGCTAAAATATCTCTGTACTAAAGCCCTCCAGGAGCTTTACGATTCATAGTCTACTAAGTCTAGAAATAGAAAGTTGTCTTCAGGAAATGGTTGCTGAAAAACTGGTTTGTAAATTCTCTCAAGTATCTTTCAACCATGAGGCCCTCAACACCACAAAGGGTCTTTGCCACCTGATCACTGGATGATCAAATCACTGCATCACCTGGCCCTAGTCTGTCCTTTGAACTTCACGGTCCCCATGGTCCCTCATGTCTCTTCACCTATCCTATGCATCAGCCAGTCCCAGCTTCTCATTTTCT